CCAGCTTGGAGACCATTATCCGTAATCGCATGATCGGCAGTTCCGACCGGGTTAGCAAAGAAAGTATTTCAAGCGGCTAAACCGGCATTCCGAACTCGGGTTCTTTCCGCTTGCAACTGGGCTTTTTTTAGTCCGGCAATAATTAGTAAGTCGTCGTCGTCACCAATGGCTTGAATGCGGGTGTCAAGATCTCCACCATCGGCCAAATCCGCTCCCGCTTCGCCAATCTCGTGTCAAAGGCGATGGGCCGCGTCCATTTGGGTTTTGCCGTGGAGGGTTGGATCCACATTGTTCGTGGTTACCCCTCAGGAAGCGTAAGTAAAGCGGTGGTTCGCAGCATCCAAGTTCGTAATCCGTCCGGTGCCATCCGCCGCATTGCCCTGGTTGTTGCGTAAATCTCGTCAACCATTCTGGTAAGCACGATCCGCTTGGCTGTCGTGTTGACCGTCGGTGCGCGTTGGACTTAAACCACTCGCTCGTCAACCAGCTTGGAGACCATTATCCGTAATCGCATGATCGGCAGTTCCGACCGGGTTAGCAAAGAAAGTATTTCAAGCGGCATTACTTCTTTCGACAATCTCCTCCCACTCCTCTCATTCTTTTTTAGCAAAAGCAAGGACCTCATTAACTATTCCAGAAATTTGTCTTCTTCAATCTCTTTTTGCTTTACTATTAGCACCATCTGAAACAATTGAATTGTTAATTTTCTCTCTCCATCCTCTTAGAGCTGGATTGTTATCAATTGCCTTATTTATTTCTGCGGCATACACCTCCGCCGACTCAATATAATTATCAATTTCCTCAATTGCCTTCTTTTTATCAAAATCACCTTTGAATGGTGTTATAAGACCACTCCAATCTCCCATTATTTTTGGACTAATACTTGTAAAATCTCTTGCCATTTGTTTATTATACTTTAATTTTTATATTACTATTATTATTTAATTTTAGCAAAAAAAAAAAAAAACAGGGTAATTTTGTTCTGATTTTTCTGTATTTTTTAGCATATAATTTGTATTTATTGGGAAAATTAGGTGCTGATAATTCTTCCCTGATTTTATTAATTATCTCTTGACTAATCGCATTAGTGAATTTAATTTCCTTATCATGTAAGCGATGGGTAATTAAATCTTTAAAATCGAAAGCAATCTGAACCATTAGTTAAGATAAGAATGAGAAATATTAATTTCTCTTTTGGTTAGTTAAATGCATGTATAATTGTTTTACTGTTAATCGAAAAAATGATATTTTTTAGTCCAAGTCGCTTTTCAAGAATTTTTTTCGATAAAGAGAAAAAAAGAGATAGCCAGCCAAGGCGTAAAAAGGCACCAAAAGCAAGCAAAAAATAACTGGGTATTGTCAAATAAATTTTCTTAAAAAGTAAAGAGAAATAACTAAGAGTATTATGAAAACAAAGCAAAGGAGATAGACCCAAAAAGAGCCTCCTTCTTGTTGATAAAAAAGGAGAGGAACCACAATTAAAAAGTTAACCAAACCAAATCCTACTCCATTAAGTAGCAAAAAGGAGCAAGCGGCGATGGCTCCAAAATTAGTGAAGAACAAGAAGCCAAAAAAGCCGAGGAGAGTGAAGAAAAAATTAATCACTAGAAAGTAAGTAAAAGTGGCAGCAAACTTGGCTCGGATGACTGTTTCCCGGTCCACACTCGGAGTAAAAATAAGCACTTTCATGTCCTCTTCCCGGCTAATTTTCGGCAAGCGAAAAAGTTGTTTTTTTTTAAACTCTTTCCAACCCAAACCTCGTCCAACAAGGTAAGAAACAAGTGGAGTCATCATTGACATTAAAGCACCTAGTTGAACAATCGAGATAAGTCAAAAGGTGAAGAGTTTCATTTGTCAACTGGTAGCTTTGGCGAGTAAATCTGCAAATATTTTCCTCG